CGACTAACGGGATCGGGTGGTCAGGCTCGCTGACCTGGTTGATGCATGTCATCGTATCCCAATTGCGTAGATCGATGCTCATGATGTCAATCACTGGATGTTCTGGCGCAGACTCAATTATGTACAGACCGCCGTCATATAGCTGGAATATTGCTGAGTGCGGCGTTAAACATCAAAGAAACAAACAAATCTGTCCTTATATGGTCTATCTGCCGGCTATTCATCACTGAACATTCATAAGTTGGGTTTTACAACGTGTGTAGCAATATTCCAGCCTAATTACGACAGGGGACACAACGAATTGGCCCATTGTACCCATGTGGGAATCGAACCCAACAACCGCGTCAACCAGTAGCCTAACCTATTGCCCCATGTTGAGTACAGGTAGAGCAACCTGCCTGACACGATTCCAAGGTAGTCGACGGTTTTCAATAATATCATTTGGTTGTACATGTATATATGATCAAGTGTTTAATGTAGGTAACATGTGTGCTACGTGCTATCTCCCCTTCGCATCATTAACATAGATTTGATAACACGATATTACGTAAACTGCCGGGCAAAAGAAAGTATACCTTTGAAACTTCGATTTGACCAAAAACATACAAACGTTATCAAAACGTTGCTAGGTTGAAAACAGTCGCCGAAAATCAGAAACACTTGGACTTACAGTCCAAAACTCAAACATGGTACCGTATCAAAACATGTCATCGAATAACCATTTCTTGTTGGATAAATATTGATCCATCATCAAACATGGGTGTATACTTTCTTTTGCCCTGCACAATATTCTTGTTGTAAATGTGCACACTCCGTCCCGCCTACCTCGATGACAGCCTGTTTGCATTAGTCCTTTGGGACAATATATTTTCGGACATACTCTTTGTGTGGAACTCTCAAGGCGACCAGGTGGTATGGGTCGGCCATTCGTCTAGAGCGCCGAAATTCGCTGTACAGAGATGTGTATGCCAAAAAAACGTGTGGGTTCGAATCCTGATTATCGCTGATTATGTTTCTAGGTTTGTCAGCACCATACCCGTGCTCGTGGGTTTCACCAAAGTGGTAAACGTCTAGAAAATGTATAACTTCGGGTTTTCCTCCCACATAAGGGAACACCAGAAACCTTTGATTGTGGGTTCGAATCCTGGTTCGCCCCGATTATGTTTCAAGGTTTGTCAGCACCATACCCGTGCTCGTGGGTTTCACAGAAGTGGTAAACGTCTGAGATCTGCATCACTTCGGGCTTTCCTCCCACATTAAGCTGACACGCCGTGATATAACTGGAATATTGTTAAAAGTAGCGTTAAACCCAACTCACTCACTCACTCACTCCTCCCACATAACGCTGACACGTCGTGATGTAACTGGAATACTGTTCCCAGTAGCATTAAGCCCAACTCACTCACTCACTCACTCACTCACTCACTCACTCACTCACTCACTCACTCAAACCAACCCACCCATCCACCCACCGACTCACTCACTCACTCACTCCTCACTCACTCAAGACGAATTATTTATAAACCGACCACATCACAGTCGATTAAACATTATTATACTTCATGTCACTGGCCATTTTAAGCAACTACCAACATATTTTGAAAGAAACATTTCCCCCTCTAAAATACCAAAGAATATACTTTCAGAACGAACAGGCTTTAAGAACTTTCATCCCTGGAAACTCTACCACGTTCTATGTGTGTTAAGTGCGTGATCTGCTGTATAAGTAAGATACCAATTAGCATTTAGAGTGTTAATATTGTTCTCATCAGCATACTGCATTTCTTGCAATAAATGTATTCTGTACGTAATATAGAGTGAATACTAAATGAAATATAGATAGCAATTGTCATATGTACATAATTTATCAGGATAGACTGTCCTTTACACTGAATGAAATAAGGAACGACATATGAACATGTATTTTATCAATTAGCTTGTGTCGCTACTTCGTTGAAATTATGTCGATGCGGCGTTAAGTTTTTCACTCACTCATAAATTTGATTTTACGTTGCATGTGACCTTGCACTACTTATATGCTTGCATGTTACGTATTAAAGCGAATATTACGTATAAGCTTGTCTGTTACGTTTAAGCTTTCTTTTACGATTTAGCTTGTAAGTTACGTGTTGTATGTTACGTTTTAGCTCGATAATTACGTATTAGCTTGTATCAAATGTTTGAACTTGTGTATAGTTCATATAAGCTTGTATCGTACCTATTAGTGCGAATGTTACGTATCAGTCTGCCTGGTACACTTTAACTTGTATGTTTTTAGCAGCCATCTGTCACGTTTTAACTTGTATGTTACGTTTTAGTTTGTGTGGTATAAATGAACCTGTATGTTACATGTGATCATGTATGTTACATATGATCATGTATGTTACATATGACCCTGTATTTTACATATGACCCTGTATGCTACATATGACCCTGTATGTTACATATGACCCTGTATGTTACATATGATCCTGTATGTTACATATGACCCTGTATGTTGCATGTGACCCTGTATGCTACATATGACCCTGTATGTTACATATGACCCTGTATGTTACATATGATCCTGTATGTTACATATGACCCTGTATGTTACATATGATCCTGTATGTTACATATGACCCTGTATGTTACATATGACCCTGTATGTTACATATGATCCTGTATGTTACATATGACCCTGTATGTTACATATGATCCTGTATGTTACATATGACCCTGTATGCTACATATGACCCTGTATGCTACATATGACCCTGTATTTTACATATGACCCTGTATGTTACATATGACCCTGTATGTTACATATGACCCTGTATGTTACATGTGACCCTGTATGTTACTTAGACCCTGTATGCTACATATGATCATGTATGTTACATATGACCCTGTATGCTACATATGATCCTGTATGTTACATATGACCCTGTATGTTGCATGTGACCCTGTATGTTACTTAGACCCTGTATGCTACATATGATCCTGTATGTTACATATGACCCTGTATGTTGCATGTGACCCTGTATGTTACATATGATCCTGTATGTTACATATGACCCTGTATGTTGCATGTGACCCTGTATGTTACTTAGACCCTGTATGCTACATATGATCCTGTATGTTACATATGACCCTGTATGTTGCATGTGACCATGTATGTTGCATATGACCCTGTATGTTACATATGACCCTGTATGTTACATGTGACCCTGTATGCTACATATGATCCTGTATGTTACATATGACCCTGTATGTTGCATGTGACCCTGTATGTTACTTAGACCCTGTATGCTACATATGATCCTGTATGTTACATATGACCCTGTATGTTGCATGTGACCCTGTATGTTACATATGATCCTGTATGTTACATATGACCCTGTATGTTGCATGTGACCCTGTATGTTACTTAGACCCTGTATGCTACATATGATCCTGTATGTTACATATGACCCTGTATGTTGCATGTGACCATGTATGTTGCATATGACCCTGTATGTTACATATGACCCTGTATGTTGCATGTGACCATGTATGTTGCATATGACCCTGTATGTTACATATGACCCTGTATGTTACATGTGACCATGTATGTTACATATGACCCTGTATGTTGCATGTGACCATGTATGTTACATATGACCCTGTATGTTGCATGTGACCCTGTATGTTACTTAGACCCTGTATACTACATATGATCCTGTATGTTACACATGACCCTGTATGTTGCATGTGACCATGTATGTTGCATATGACCCTGTATGTTACATATGACCCTGTATGTTACATGTGACCATGTATGTTGCATGTGACCATGTATGTTACATATGACCCTGGATGTTACATATGACCCTGTATGTTACATATGACCCTGTATGTTACATGTGACCCTGTATGTTACATATGACCCTGTATGCTACATATGACCCTGTATGTTACATGTGACCCTGTATGTTACTTAGACCCTGTATGCTACATATGATCCTGTATGTTACATATGACCCTGTATGCTACATATGATCCTGTATGCTACATATGATCCTGTATGTTACATATGACCCTGTATGCTACATATGCCCCTGTATGCTACATATGATCCTGTATGTTACATATGATCCTGTATGTTACATATGACCCTGTATGTTACATGTGACCCTGTATGTTACATATGACCCTGTATGTTACATATGACCCTGTATGTTACATGTGACCCTGTATGTTACTTAGACCCTGTATGCTACATATGATCCTGTATGTTACATATGACCCTGTATGCTACATATGATCCTGTATGCTACATATGATCCTGTATGTTACATATGACCCTGTATGCTACATATGCCCCTGTATGCTACATATGATCCTGTATGTTACATATGATCCTGTATGTTACATATGACCCTGTATGTTGCATGTGACCATGTATTATATCAGTTATCCTGCACAACAAAAGACCCAATCACAAAAATATACGTGCACTCGGAAGAACGACGACGCACATGTCCTTGGACATTTTCTAGAATGTTTTGTAGTCGCGCGTGCTAAGCCATCACATAACGACTTCATTAAGTAGGTTTGTATTCGAACTTTACAAATAAAATCTCATATCGACCTCTTGGGAAATATTTAAGTTTTTTCTTTGGTAGACCTGCACCGCTGACCTTGAACACCTGTACCCACTGCAACGAGGCAGTCACGCCTCACTGAACACTGACAGTCACGGTGTCCCATGGGAGCACAAGGACCGCATGATCATATGATTTGCTCTGACACAGCGTGACACAGTCTGACAGTCTGACAGGGAAGGTTACTTCAACCTGGCCGCAGCCAATTACTTCGAGAACACACCTAATACATATCATTGTAGAACACACCTAATACATATCATTGTAGAACACACCTAATACATATCATTGTAGAACACACCTAATACATATCATTGTAGAACACACCTAATACATATCATTGTTATGCGGACGTAGCGACACCTATAACTGCAGTGCATTGAGCTGATCTGAGCATGTGCATTGCGCAGTAGCCGACCACTGGCTCAAACATAACTCCACCATCATCAGTCGTCCCGGGAACACACACCTGAAACAGCATGACATTCAACAGCCTGTGCCTTTTGACGTTATTCCTCGGTAGGTACATTTTGAACAGCAGACTTTTGTTGAAAAAAATATATATGGGATTAATGAAAATAGGTTATTTTATTCACTCATGGTATGACCCTCTCTGTATGGCTCTGATGGACCTTATCAAGCCATCTTTCTCCGAAGTCGAACTTGTGATAATTAAATATCAATCAATCTTTATTCAAGTACTTAAGAAGCCCCAGGCCTATAGTACATGTCACAGAGATGTTGCACACAATTTTAACTATTATTTACAGACTTGGTTCTATATATTAATATTGTTTATTGATATTGTTTTGCGGCTGTATATCTGTTTTATAAAAGTAATAGTTTATTCTGTTCTTATCATGGGGTGACGATGTTGGGATAGGCGCTGATAGGTGATTAGCAATAGACAATGCAAGCCAACACTTTTCAGTTATTAGCGCTGATAGTATGGAAGCCAGCACTTTTCAGTTATTAGCGCTGATAGTATGGAAGCCAGCACTTTTCAGTTATTAGCGCTGATAGTATGGAAGCCAACACTTTTCAGTTATTAGCGCTGATAGTATATAAGCCAGTACTTAAGTAAGTAATAGGTAATGGACACTGGTCAAACGGGAGGCCGGGGGTAATTAACACTGATCGGTGAAAGAATGGACGAAACATTGTGTTCCTCATAATAAAGAAGTTGACATCCATATATTCTCTTCCTTATGTGTATCACTTCTAAATGCCTTTCAAACACTCGATACACAAAATAATGTTTAAATTGTATATTTGATATAGTGATGAAACTTTATTTTGAAGGCACACAGTTTTAGAAGTATGAATTACCTAGCACTTAGTTATACTTTGTTTATCTCTACATTTACTACGGCAATAAACTTTACAGATGAGTTTGACTGATATAAGTGATGAATTATCTGTCTGCACATCTGCTGTACAGCCTGGAGCAAATATCGCTCAGCGGCTTCTGTTCATATCAGTATGCTATAGAAGCTGCTGCATATTTATATACTCGTTATATCTTGTATGACTAATCAGCTGCTCCCAGTTACCTATAATATAGACCAGCGGACACCGTCTCTCAACAACCATCTCCCAACCCCTTAGTGTAACACCATTGGCAACGATGTTTTTGGATTATTTTTATCAAAAGGATTTACCATCAACGACATATAAAGTAAGGATGATGTTTGCCTTGATGCGAATCTCAATATCAATGGTATACTCCCTCCCCTCTCTCTAACTCAACAGTCTGTCGATTTGAAGAATAATTGAGTGTTTAAACAATGATACGTTTCGTCTTGCAAAGTCTGTGAATGTCATCACACAGAATCGGGTAATTATATTGCATGCTCTAAATTGGTGAATTAGCCTTACGGTGAGGTGAAATGGGATTGAACATCATTATTATTGCGTTTATGTAGAGATTGGCATGCGCGTGTGTGTATGTGTATGTGTGTGTGTGTGTGCACGCGTGTGAGTATATGTGTGTGTGCGCGCGCGCGTGTGTGTGTATGTGTGTATGTGTGTATGTGTATGTGTATGTGTATGTGTATGTGTATGTGTATGTGTATGTGTGTGTGCTTGTCATAGTCGGTTTTATAGTGCCAGCCCACTGAGATACCATGTGGCAGTTTAGCATGAATACCCCACTCGGACACAGAATACTGATTCCGAGCCGACCTCTCCCTTAATGCCGAGCTCCAGGAAGGGTATCAACAAAGTACCACCTTTTAACGTCTATTGTTATGAGGCGGTCGGGGGTCGAACCACCGCACACGGACGTGATCGGTAATACAGATAGTACCTCCCATATTCCATCCTAACAGACGTAAAAGAGAATATTCCTCGGACCGTACAAAGCTTAAAGTCATTCACGGACTGCCTAGATACCTAAACCTCGATGTGGTTCGGAATAGTCAAACCACGCGGGGTATTCATTTTATTATTTGACCGTTACAATTCATTTTAATTACTGCTCCTCATACAAATTTGATCCATTACTCCCATGAAAACTTAAGACACAACATTATTATTGATCTTGAAAGCGTATATAAACATTAACGGAAACATTTGAAAATATATTCTTGACCCACTGGTTGGTATTCCAAAAAAACTCATTTATCCGAGAATGAGTTTGATAATCATGTGAGTATACCTAGTGTTTTGTGATTGTGTGTCCGGAAGTGTGTGATGCTAAGATGTAGAGTTTTCAAAGATAACAGATATACATCTGACAGTCAGTGACGACAGATATTGAGCTTGATGAAATTTCTTTTGTGGTTAAAAACATGAAAAACAATAAAAGCCCCGGTATTGAAGACTTTCCTATTGAATTAAAAAAAATGGAAAGGACTAAAATTCTGGATAAGCAGATTTTAAATAGTACTTCTGCTTATATCAAAATGAGCATGACAATGAAAAGAGTTATAACCTGTCTATACCAAAAGCAAATACACAGAACACAGATTAAAACCTGTAGACGACTAACGTTATTGAATGCTCTCTATGAAATAATTAGCACTTGTATTGAAAACCGTATAAGTTAAACTTGGAATTGCTCATTCATAGCATTCAAACATGATTTATTCCTGGAAGATGTATTTCAGAAAACACAAGAATGTCATACGACAATATCTGTGAATCAAAATAGACAAAAAAGACAAGGATTACGTCTGCTGATAGATTTGAAAAAGGCATTTGATACGGTTTCAAAACAACATATTTCAAGAAATATTGATTTGGGCCTGATATGACAAGGTGGATAAATATACAAAGTTTTGATACTACAGCAAATTTAATAAAAAATGGACATCTATCAGAATATTTTTACAAATGAAAGAGGCTGTCGACAAGGAGACCCACTGTCGCCATACACTTTCCTCCTCGTAGCTGAAATCCTAGGATGTATGATCAGAAATAGTAATAAAGTTGAAGGAATTTTTGTTCATAACAAATGCTACAAAGTTTGGCAGTATGCTGATGATATTGAATTACATTTAAATGTTTAATATGAAACATTATCTGCTGCTGTAGAAACATAATTAATTCTATAAATGTCTAGTCTAAAACGTAATGTAGACAAAAGCAATATGCATAGGTTCAAAAGCTGGCATCAATGAGGGATTATGTCAAGATTTACATATAGAATTGGGTGGGGGGCTGGCATTTTATTTAAAAAATATCTACAAAATCCCCCGTCCCCCGAATATCGAATGGTCGGTTCCTTAATAGGAAAAAGTACAGTTATAAAAACATTAGCACTGTCAAAACTTGTTCAAATATTTTCGTCACTTCCAACTTTGACTTTGTTTTTTCTCTTGACAAATACTTTACAATCAATTAACATTTACAGAACATAGATATAAACATAGGGGTGTTAAACTTTTTGATTTTATGTACAGATTTCTACATAGAATTAGTATCTACACATTGAAGGATTTTAGATGTATATTAGATGTATATATTCTATATCATAAATAATTAATAGATGGTAATCGATTGTTCAAATTTGGCACACATCATTGTTATAGACCCAGTTTCCATGTGGCACACATGGAACAGTAAATTTTCAAGGTGAAGGTTATCTGTTCTCAATATCTTTGACGTTACGTTGACAGCTAGGTTTTGCTACCTCACCTCAATTCGGGTAACTGCCATGCCGATAGTGGATGCTGCATGCTGTCATTTTAGATGTTGATTTCGTTGAGATTTATTTTTTATCTTTTCAATACATGCACCTATCTTGTGTATTTTTTTTTAAATGAAGATTTTTATAATTTTGGTAAAGTTTCTTTTGTCCTTCAGTTTACTTTACTACTTCAATCAACCAGGTTTTTTCTGTATGTGAAATTAAAGGAATCTAACCAACAATAGATACACTTTTGAAACATATATTCTTTTGAGAATTCATTGCTACAAAAAAGGATGACAAAACCAACTTTAATAACAAATGGGTCTTGACTCTTTGTTGATACACACCATGTTTGTGTGTATTGCAACCTTTAAAAGTTTGAAATATGACACTGTTTAACTGCCGTTACAGCCACTTCACTCACTCAACAATTGACACCCGTTCCTGGTGCTACTTACTGCATCGGAATCTGAAAAACTTTTCGAAACCCCGACTTTATACTTAACGTTTTTCAGTCCACGCCAGTTGTAATCGAACTGAAGTACACTGGATATATTTCGTTCCTAATTGAATTCTTTGAAAGAAAACAATATCGTATTACCATGACGACGGTGCTGTCTGTTGATCGATATGAACTTATTGTATGTTGTCACGATAACGGCCAATAACATGGCGAGCCTGCCACAAACGACGTGCCCCACCTTACATTGTGTGGAGTTCGTGCTGCTTGTATTATTAGTCAAGTGTGTCCACATATCTCGTACAATTGGTTCTCCAGGTTACACACAACCAAACGTTTTCCCATAGACTTCTATATTAACGTTATATATATTTTTTTAAAATAACTAAGCATTCAACAGCTATTACCTGTACGTGTGTGCACAGTTTGGTCTTAGAGCAGCAATACAAAAAATAAAAAAATGACTAGCTTAGCCAGCTCCTTTTCCGAGTACAGGAAGCTAAACACACCACCCCCAGTTTCGCACCAAATGTCACCTACTTAAAAATAGCTGTGGTCACATTCAGCATAAGTCATCATGTTGAAAAAGACAGTACTAAATATAGAAAAACATGGTCAGTTTAAATAACTGGATGGATGTACATTTGAAAGACATAAAAATCTTACAGAATATGCTCCAATCACAGCCTGCAGATATCTCTCGATCTGCACTGAAGGCTCCCTACGAAAACCGCACTCTCCAAACTGGTTCTGATTTGGTGTAGTAGAACCTCCAGAACAATACCTGTAGTTTGGTTCCCGGAAGTAGAAAATAATGATTTCTGAACCAGAATAATAGTAAGTCTTTGACAGGCGTTTAAAAGTTATACACATAAGGAAGATATTTTTTAATGGATGTCAACTTCTTTATCATATGGGACACAACGTTTCGGAGTATATTCTTACTCCTTCATCAGGTGAATAAATGCTTACTTACTTACTTACTTTGGAGATTCAACGTGCGCTTTCCGACTGATGCGTATTTCGCACACGGGCCCGGCCAGGCCATTTAATGTGTTTCCGAAAGGGGCGAAAGTGGTCTGTGCAACCCAAGAGGGGGGTTTAGGGGTTGCTTTTATAGAATTTGGGAATTTTGAGATTTGGAATAGATGCCAATGGGGTTGGGGAGGAGAACTAAGGGAGCTGGGTATGGTGGATGTTTGTTTGTTTATGTGATTTTGATTTGGTAGGTTATTGTGTTTTTAGATGCGTTTTATTAGTTACGTTTTTATTAAGAATACGCCTAAGGCCTTGAAGTTTTCTAGTTTATTTTGTGGGTTTAGTATTGCTTCTAGAGTGAGAGCCTTGTTTAGATTAAGGGTGGTTTGTAATGCGGTTCGATGTGTTTGGTAGTGTGTGCAGTGGATGAGTGCGTGTTCTGGGGTTTCTGGTTGTTTGCAGTGTGGGCAGTTACTAGTTGCTATGAGGCAGAGCACATATATATATGTACCTGTAAGAACAACAAGAGTAATAAGATCACAAAGGTGGAAACTTAACAAGGGGAGCCAACAGATCATTGGCGCTGATAGGTGATTAGCAGTGGACAAATGGAAGCCACACTTAACAGTAAATTAGCGCTGATAGTTGATAGCGATGAACAACTTGAAGCCAGGGCTTAATTTATCACTGATTGGTAATAGGCAATGGGCAAAGGGCGAACGGGAGGCCGGGATTGTTGGCGCTGAAAGTAGTAGATTGGAAATGACAATGGACAGAATTATAGTGAATGTGTTATGGGTCTGATTTTCTCTCAATATGCAGTCATATTTATGTAGGCATACACGTTAAGATAGATCTTTAACAGTCAAAGAATGTATACTCGTGTAAAGTGGCTATGTCCTTCAGCTAAAGTTAACTGAATCAGAACTAAACAGGAAAACACACACACTCGACGCCGGACACTAGTTTATCGGATATAAATATTATGCATACATTGTTAAGTCATTATGGGATTGTTCAAGAAGTTCACGTTATACATGGTAGAATACAGTAGACAGTCGATTAGGTGTGGATCAGTTGGTGGTCACATGAGTACTGACTCAAGTAATTGAAAATACGATTTTGTTTTTCTGCTGGTTTCTGATTTATTTCCAGTCTAGCAGTTCATGTTTACCTTAATTACACAGGGACATTGTAACAGTTTCACACAATAGGTGTAACACCAGGTCAAGGCTGTACAAGGGTGCCAAGCCGTGATGCATTGTATCTCCTTAAGGGGTATTTCCAGAAGTACCTCACAACCAAAGTCAATATACTTGCTGGAAGTGAGGCTTGTTATTTTAATTCATATGACGCTGTTTAACACAGCCCGGTATATTTGGTGACTAAAAGTTAAAGAATATATACATAACACCAGTCTTTTGTGACGTGCATTTCCTTGCATGATGTCTAGGCGGCAGCCTGGCGTGTAAGAGCGACTCCAGTTGTACAGCCCTGAGTGTGGACGCCAACAGAGCCAAGACAGACAACGACCAGAAACTGTACTGTCAGTAAGTAACATCACTAACATGTATGTATGTGTGTGTGTGTGTGTGTGTGTGTGTGTGTGTTTTGTGCGTTTGTGTGTGCGTATGTGTGTGTGTGTGTGTGTGTGTGTGTGTTTTGTGCGTTTGTGTGTGCGTATGTGTGTGTGTGTTTTGTGCGTTTGTGTGTGCGTATGTGTGTGTGTGTTTTGTGCGTTCGTGTGTGCGTATGTGTGTGTGTGTTTTGTGCGTTTGTGTGTGCGTATGTGTGTGTGTGTGTGTGTGTGTTTTGCGCGTTTGTGTGTGCGTATGTGTGTGTTTTGTGCGTTTGTGTGTGCGTATGTGTGTGTGTGTGTGTGTGTGTGTTTTGTGCGTTCGTGTGTGCGTATGTGTGTGTTAGCGTGTGAGCTGTACAGTTCTGCATAGTTCTGTCTGCATATGGATGTATGAAAGAACAGTCACTCACTCTCCGCCTCATATGCAACACTTAATGTAGTGGTGATTCAATATTTAGTGTGGTGGTGATTCAATATTTAGTGTAGTGGTGATTCAATATCTAGTGTAGTGGTGATTCAATACTTAGTGTAGTGGTGATTCAATATTTAGTGTAGTGGTGATTCAAAACTTTGTATAGTGGTGATTCAATACTTAGTGTAGCGGTGATTCACAACTTAGTGTAGTGGTGATTGAACACTTGGTGTATTGGTAATTCAACACTTGATGTAGTGGTGATTGAACACTTAGTGTAGTGGTGATTCAATACTTAATGTAGTGGTGATTCAAAACTTAGTGTAGTAGTGATTCACAACTTAGTGTAGTGGTGATTGAACACTTAGTGTAGTGGTGATTGAACACTTGATGTAGGGGTGATTGAACACTTAGTGTAGTGGTGATTGAACACTTAGTGTAGTGGTGATTGAACACTTAGTGTATGGGTGATTGAACACTTAGTGTAGTGGTGATTCAAGACTTTGTGTAGTGGTGATTGAACACTTAGTGTAGTGGTGATTCAAGACTTTGTGTAGTGGTGATTGAACACTTAGTGTAGTGGTGATTGAACACTTAGTGTAGTGGTGATTGAACACTTAGTGTAGTGGTGATTGAACACTTAGTGTATGGGTGATTGAACACTTAGTGCAGTGGTGATTCAAAACTTTGTGTAGTTGTGATTGAACACTTAGTGTAGTGGTGATTCAAGACTTTGTGTAGTGGTGATTGAACACTTAGTGTAGTGGTGATTCAAGACTTTGTGTATGGGTGATTCAACGCGTCGTGTAGTGGTGATTCAACACGTGTAAGAGATCGGCATTTTATTAGCGCTTAGTGCAGTCAGTGGAAGCGGGAATAAAATGACGTGTGCATGTTTACATTCGTGTTTGAAACATGGCGCCTTTAACAGGCGATGATGGAACGAAGGGCTGCATGCACGACTGTGATGGATGGAACAGTAAGTGATCAAATGGACGAATGAATTAAAGGTAGAATTTTTTTACATGACTTGACGTGGAGCTGTTTGGAATGAACGAATAAGTAAAATTCAGTCAGTGAATATGAGATTGGAGTACCGTTAGTGATCGATCCATATGGTTCAACATGAACGAGTACACAACATCCACACGATATACAAGTATGTCATAATGATCGCTGACGTAATGTAGACAGCATGGTTGACGTCATATAGAAATGACATTAATATGACAACATACTATAATTTCTGACGTCATGTTAATACCGATGCATCTCAGTTAGGTTGAAGTTTGGAACAGATGTTGCTTACTCTAATACGTGTTGGAACTTGAGGTATGACTGCACTCGAATATGTGTCTTACTGAGTTTACACGTGGCAGAAGTACGACCCTCAATTTTCGTAAAACTCTGTAATACTCACACATTCCTTTTTTATTGCCTATATATCTACATAAATACAGGAACTCTACAAAACCAATCTAAAACTATCTCCCTGAGCTGCATAGCAATATGATGGGCTCGCGATAGTCTGACCCCGAGTTGAGCTCTGGTCACATCTACACAGGTGTATTTGTCACTATGGCCTACTGATAATAAAAAAAACCCGTCTGTCCTGGGGACAGGTCTGCAATAGCGTCACACTAGAACTGAAATATGATATTGATATCCTGCCTCCCCACAGGTTCACCAGCAAAACGATTGCCTGCTACTCCAGCGCCGATGCCAGATGCGACAACAGTACCGAGTTGTTGGACGCCATGAAGAGAAAATACTACAGCGAGTGTTCGGTGACGAGTGAGTGTATTGTGCTTGTTTGCTGACGTCACATGGCAGACGCCCCCATACAAGTTGTAGAACTGAATTACATTACTGGTTTGATGAACTCTCAGAGACTAGTCTGCATCTTGACTTGTGGTGGTGTTAATATATGTTTTTGATTCAACAGTTATATTAAATTCCAAGTTTCGTTGCCTTTTCAGAGGAGGAGGTTCGGTCTTGCAATAACAAGATTGTCAGCTGCTATCCATTGGTGACAGAAGCTTCAAATCTACTCACGAAAATGAAAATGACTGGTTACTGCTCGTAAGTCATACTAGTGGGAACCATGCATGCGTCATACAACTGCTTACAGCACGTGCGTCATACTACTGGCTACTATACGTGCGTCACACTACTGCTTTCAACACGTGCGTCATACTACTGGCTACTATATGTGCGTCACACTACTGCTTTCAACACGTGCGTCATACTACTGGCAACCATGCATGCATCATACAACTTCTTACAGCACGTGCGTCATACTACTGCTGTCTACATGTGCGTCTCACTACTGCTGTCTACATGTGCGTCACATTACTGGCTACTATACGTGTGTCACACTACTGGCTACTGAGCGTGCGTTACACTACTGGCTAGTGAGCGTGCGTTACACTACTGGCTACTGACGTGTGTCATACTGCTGGCTGCTGTATGTGTCATCATACTGACTACTGTCCATGTGTCATACTACTGGCTACTATCCGTGTTTCACGCTACTGGTTACGTTACGTGTGTCATACTGCTTGATACTGTACGTGTGTCATTCTGCTGGCTTCTGCTCGTGTGTCATACTACTGGCTACTATCCGTGGGTCATACTACTGGCTACTGTACGTGCGTCATACCGTTGGCTACTGCACGAGTGTCATACTACTGGCTACTGTACGTGTGTCAAACTAATGGTTACTATACTTGTGTCATACCACTGGCTACTGTACGTGTGTCATACTACTGGCTACTGTGCGTGTGTCATACTTCTGGCTACTGTACGTGTGTCATACCAATGGCTACATTACGTATGTCATATTACTGCCATTGAACGAGTGTCATACTACTGGCTACTGTACGTGTGTCATACCACTGCTATTGTTCAAGTGTCATACTACTGGCTACTATAGTACTATACGTGTGTCATACCAATGGCTACGTTACGTCTGCCATACTACTGCTACTGCCCGTGTGTCATACCACTGGCTACTGTACGTATGCCATATTACTGGCTACTGGAGTGTGCCATACTACTGGCTACTGTACGTGTGTCATACCAATGGCTACGTTACGTGTGTCATATTACTGGCTACTGTACGTGTGTCATACTACTGGCTACTGTACGTATGTCATATTTCTGGCTACTGTAGTGTGCCATACTACTGGCTACTGTACGTGTGTCATACTACTGGCTACTGTACGTATGTCATATTACTGGCTACTGTAGTGTGCCATACTACTGGCTACTGTACGTGTGTCATACTACTGGCTACTGTACGTGTATCATACCAATGGCTACGTTACGTGTGTCCTATTACTGCTATTGAACGAGTGTCATACTACTGGCTACTTTTCGTGTGGCATACTACTGGCTACTGTACTGTGCCATACTGCTGGTTACTGCACGTGTGTCATTCTGCTGGCTACTGTAAGTGTGTCATACTACTGGCAACTGTAAGTGTGTCATACTGGCAACTGTAGGGGCGGTCTGGTAGCCTAGTGGTTAAAGCGTTGGCTCGTCACGCCGAAGATCCGGGTTCGATTCCAGACATCGGTACAATGTGTGAAGCCCATTTCCGGTGTCCCCCGCCGTGATATTGCTGGAATATTGCTAAATCGGCGTAAAACCATACTCACTCACTCACTCGCTACTGTACGTGTGTCATACTCCTTGTTATTGTACGTGTGTCATACTACTGCATACTCGTTTCACACTATCTGCTGCTTTACGTGTATCATACTACTCGTTTATTCTGGGATACCACTGTTTATCACATCAAATCGTCGTGACCACCAACCCGGTGTCTTAACCATGCATGTCACGTGCACTTAGCTCCAACTGTGTGGCCCCTGTGTGTAATAGTGACGGTCTGTTGCAGGTCCATGGAAGCGTTCATCCACTGTGTGGAGTTTAAAATGAAGCCCTGCGCAAAAGGTGTGACCCTGTTCGATGTGCTAGAAGGCCTGTATACACCGTACGACCACTTTTGTAGCACAATGAATAGTAAGTGTGCCGTTGTTTAATTTGTTCCGATCATAAATTCATTAGCATCAAGTCATGGTTAATATAATCGATAGTTACTACGTTTATCTTGCACGTGTATCCATGACGTGTCCCCAGATGGTTTACCCTACACGTATTTCCTATTCATGTCCCCTTGCAGTTCCTCTAGAGTTGGGGCTGTGGGGTAGCCTAGTGGTTAAAGCGTTCGCTCGTCACGCCGAAAACCCGGGTTCGATCCCCCACATTGATGCAATGTGTGAAGCCCATTTCTGGTGTCCCCCGTAGTGATATTGCTGGAATATTGCTTAAAGCGACGTAAAACCATACTCACTCACTTCTCTAGATTTGTTAATCCTTATGGACCGACGAAATGATATTCTGGAGGGAGTTGGCCTGAGATTTTGTATAGAGATTAGATATTTTTTCAGTTACATCTACAAAAGCAGATATTTTATTTGAAACTATGAGTCTGAATTTGTTTTAAGAAAAACACCTTGAAACAATGGAAGTTTTATGGCAGGCAAGTTTTGTTTTCAACAGATTGAAGCAGCATTTATTTTCAAGACTTTCGGGGACAATATATTTTTTTGATCAAGTTCCAGCCATCACCCCTCCCTTCCCCTCAACCATATCTAATGGTCGGTCCTCGTGCGTCGGCGTGCCACTCTGTGGGTTCGAGTCTCGGTGCGCCCTGATTATGTTTCTGTGTTTGCCAGTACCTCGCCGTGGTCGTGGTGACAGTCGAAGACTTCAATTCTTCAGGCTCCCTATACCAAGCTGAAACGCAATGATGTCACTAAACTATTGTTTAAACGGCGTTAAACCAACTCTAGCATGTACATCTTTTCTGTGTCCCTACCAGTTTATCTTGCTCCTTTAACGCATCACCTGGTTGATGCTGTACGTATTTAGGGGCTATTTATACGTCAAGGCAACACTGCGATTTGGTAGGTGGGTCCAGTAATACTGTAAATACAAACTTGTATGCCGAAATATTGAAAGATGGAATTGTTTATCCAGGAAACGACAAGAAAGCATTATGTACAGGCAAGCTTCATACGGCTGGATGTGCAGACTCAATGGAGGGAATATCTGAAGCTTTAGCATCTTCTAACATAAATGAGTACTGCAGGTGTGTACATAAAGCTTTACACAATGAATCACAAACATCACCAGAAACGAATTCTGGTTCCTACATAGGCACTCAAATATGTAGACACTTACATAGTTCCCATATAAACCTACACACATGATTGGACACTAATCTTTGTTTCCTACATAGACACACAAACATGGGTAGACACTAACATAGTTCCCATATAAACCTACAAACATGACTGGACACTAATCTTTGTTTCCTACATAGACACACAAACATGGGTAGACACTAACATAGTTCCCATATAAACCTACAAACATGACTGGACACTAATCTTTGTTTCCTACATAGACACACAAACATGGGTAGACACTAACATAGTTCCCATATAAACCTACAAACATGATTGGACACTAATCTTTGTTTCCTACATAGACACACAAACATGGGTAGACACTAACATAGTTCCCATATAAACCTACAAACATGACTGGACACTAATCTTTGTTTCCTACATAGACACACAAACATGGGTAGACACTAACATAGTTCCCATATAAACCTACAAACATGATTGGACACTAATCTTTGTTTCCTACATAGACACACAAACATGGGTAGACACTAACATAGTTCCCATATAAACCTACAAACATGATTGGACACTAATCTTTGTTTCCTACATTGACACACAAACATGGGTAGACACTAACATAGTTCCCATATAAACCTACAAACATGATTGGACACTAATCTTTGTTTCCTACATAGACACACAAACATGGGTAGACACTAACATAGTTCCCATATAAACCTACAAACATGATTGGACACTAATCTTTGTTTCCTACATTGACACACAAACATGGGTAGACACTAACATAGTTCCCATATAAACCTACAAACATGATTGGACACTAATCTTTGTTTCCTACATAGACACACAAACATGGATAGACACTAACATAGTTCCCATATAAACCTACAAACATGACTGGACACTAATCTTTGTTTCCTACATAGACACACAAACATGGATAGACACTAACATAGTTCCCATATAAACCTACAAACATGACTGGACACTAATCTTTGTTTCCTACATTGACACACAAACATGGGTAGACACTAACATAGTTCCCATATAAACCTACAAACATGACTGGACACTAATCTTTGTTTCCTACATTGACACACAAATATATGCAGAAACAAAGAATCTTTGTTTCCCCCATAGAAACACAAAGATCTGTAGATACAAATAATTGTTCCTACATGGACACTCAAACATATGCAGACAAAATAATCTTTGTTTCCTACATTGACACACAAAGATCTGTAGACACTAATTATAGTTCCTACATAGGCACCCAAACATCTGTAGAGACACTAATAATACTTCCAACATAGACACTCATACATCGGTCGACACTAACAGAAGTTCCCACACAGACACCGAAACATCCGTAGACACTAATATTAACAACATGCAAAGTAAGATGTTCGATATCTAATATAACAGTGTTTTATCTAACTGTGTTATATCCGACTGTGTAATATTTAACTGTGTGATACCTAACTGTACTATATCTGCCTGGGCTATATCCCACTGTGTTATATCCGACTGTGTAATATGTAACAGTGTTGTATCCATGTGCGGTAAATCTGTGTTATCCCCGACCGTTGATGTTGCAGGCGAATGGGAGAGTACATGAGTTGTTTCGACACAACGTTTGCCAAATGCGACCCGAGCCTGAATCGCACCAGCTTCATCTCTGGGTTGGAGGACCCCTACAGGAAACTGTGTAAAGGTGACGTTATAGTCAGGCCAACGCCGTCGGGAACAGTGTTACACATACATCCCGGCGTGTCAGGTTGGGTGAGGGATGGTGCGTGTGTGCGCGCGTGCGTGCGTGCGTGCGTGCGTGCATTAGTGTGTGTGTGTGTCTGTGAGAGTGTGTGTGTGTGTGTGTCCGGACCTCCTGGGGAGCCCCCCCCCGCCCCCCCCGATCCGCCCGTGGCTATTCCGAGATTTAAACGCACGATCTCCTGGCAAGGGGTAGGCTCGCATCTATGCATCATCGGTGTTTCAGGCCACTGGAGCGACGTGGCCCTTGAAGGTGGGGGCGTGTGTGAGGAATAATATACTTCAACGGTTGATGAATCAAGGTTAAGGTGATCAGTCAATTTGTACATGTAAACGTTCTAAGTGATCCTCAGGAAGTGTTTAACCAACGGAGTCCGCACTAACGAGGTTTCGCTGGATAAGGTAAAACCAGTACTGTTAGGATTCATGCAATGTTATTTTACGCATAGGGATGACTTATCTTGAAATTAAAATCTTGTCAGCGTCTTAAGAGCATTAATTTGAAACTTTTTCACCATGTTTTACAGATCCAGTTTTCGTATTGAACATATCTTGTTGTAGGTAACCCAGTAGAAATGTGCCAGACGAGGCTTCAGAGTTGCTTCCCACAACTGGTAGATGCCCTCAACAATACAGACAAGCCGCCTGTCTACTGCAGGTAAGTAGTTTTATTCTTTGTTGTTTAACGCCACACTCAGCAATATTTCAGCTATATCACGGCGGTCTGTATATAATCGAGTCTGGACCAGACAATCCAGTGATTGATATCATGAGCACCGATCCACGTAATTGGGAGAGGATGACATGCACGAACCAAGCCAGCGAGTCTGACCACCGTCTCCATAAAGTCGCCTCTTACGACGAGCATGGGTTGCTGATGATTTTTTCTACTCTGGATCTTCACGGGTCGAAAGTAAGTAAGACAGGTGTACGTCGCTGCCAGAAGAATTGATTCAATTTTACGGCGGCTCTAGCGTGTACAAGGACACGGACCAGTACAACATGATTATACTGTCAATGACAAAAGTGTCACTTGGTGGCGTTTGCTAGTTAGTCATTCTCAGCAGTACTTGATGCTATCCTCATTGCTCTTTGATTTTTATAAAAGTCGTGGCCCATGTACTGGAAACAATACCACCTGGAGTCCTCAAACGAACTTATGACCGGTATCTGTTATAATTATCATTAATATGGAAAAAAAAAAAAATATGAATAGCTACCCTTTCCCCCAATGAAACACCACCATATGTTTCCTAATGCAGCACCATCATCTGTTCCCTAATGCAGCACCACCATCTGTTTCCTGATGCAGCACCACCATCTGTTTCCTAACGCAGCACCACCATCTGTTTCCTGATGCAGCACCACCATCTGTTTCCTAATGCAGCACCACCATCTGTTTCCTAACGCAGCACCACCATCTGTTCCCTAATGCAGCACCACCATCTGTTTCCTGATGCAGCACCACCATCTGTTTCCTAACGCAGCACCACCATCTGTTTCCTAACGCAGCACCACCATCTGTTTCCTAATGCACCACCACCATCTGTTTCCTAATGCAGCACCATCATCTGTTTCCTGATGCAGCACCACCATCTGTTCCCTAATGCAGCACCACCATCTGTTTCCTAACGCAGCACCACTATCTGTTTCCTAATGCACCACCACCATCTGTTTCCTAATGCAGCACCATCATCTGTTTCCTGATGCAGCACCACCATCTGTTTCCTAATGCAACACCACCATCTGTTTCCTGATGCAGCACCATCATCTGTTTCCTAATGCAGCACCATCATCTGTTTCCTGATGCAGCACCACCATCTGTTTCCTAATGCAGCACCATCATCTGTTTCCTAATGCAGCACCATCATCTGTTTCCTAATGCAGCACCACCATCTGTTTCCTGATGCAGCACCACCATCTGTTTCCTGATGCAGCACCACCATCTGTTTCCTGATGCAGCACCACCATCTGTTTCCTAATGCAGCACCATCATCTGTTTCCTGATGCAGCACCACCATCTGTTTCCTAATGCAGCACCACCATCTGTTTCCTGATGCAGCACCATCATCTGTTTCCTAATGCAGCACCATCATCTGTTTCCTGATGCAGCACCACCATCTGTTTCCTAATGCAGCACCATCATCTGTTTCCTAATGCAGCACCATCATCTGTTTCCTGATGCAGCACCACCATCTGTTTCCTGATGCAGCACCACCATCTGTTTCCTGATGCAGCACCACCATCTGTTTCCTGATGCAGCACCACCATCTGTTTCCTGATGCAGCACCACCATCTGTTTCCTGATGCAGCAACACCATATGTTTCCTGATGCAGCACCACCATCTGTTTCCCAATGCAGCACCACCATCTGACCCGTGAAGATCCGGGTTAGAACTGGTCTTCAGCAACCCAAGCTTGCCGTAAAAGGCGACAATGCTTCTCGTAAGAGGCGACTAACGGGATCGGGTGGTCAGGCTCGCTGACTTGGTTGATGCATGTCATCGTATCCAAATTGCGTGGATCATGATATCAATCACTATATTTTCTGGTCCTATATACAGACTATATACCATATACAGATCGCCGTTATATAGCTGGAATATTGCTGAGTGTAGTGTTAAACAACAAACAATCACCGCCATCTGTTTCCTAACGCAGCACCGCCATCTGTTTCTTATAGAGGCCTCAGCTCCTACATGGTCTGTGTGGACGAGCTGCTGCCTAGCTGTGACCCTCCCGTCACGCGGTCTGAGGTCCTGGGAGAGCTGGAGGAGGGATACACAATGGCATGCCATATGGTCGGTACGTGTTGTTAGTAATAAGGCTCTACGGACACTTAAGGGATGCAGCTGTGTTGTATAGTGACCTGCATTTGATGGTGTTACATATTAGACCTGCATTTGACGGTGTTGTATAGTGATCTGCATTTGACGGTTTTGTATAGTGACCTGCATTTGACGGTCTTGTATATTTGACCTGCATTTGACGGCGTTCTATATTAGACCTGCATCTGACGATGTTGTATAGTGATCTGCATCTGACGATGTTGTATTGTGACCTGCATTTGACGGTGTTGTATAGTGACCTGCATTAGACGGTGTTGTATAGTGACCTGCATCTGACGATGTTGTATAGTGACCTGCATTTGACGGTGTTGTATAGTGACCTGCATTTGACGGTTTTGTATAGTGACCTGCATTTGACGGTCTTGTATATTTGACCTGCATTTGACGGTGTTCTATATTGGACCTGCATCTGACGATGTTGTATAGCGATCTGCATCTGACGATGTTGTATTGTGACCTGCATCTGACGATGTTGTATAGTGATCTGCATCTGACGATGTTGTATAGTGATCTGCATCTGACGATCTTGTATTGTGACCTGCATTTGACGGTGTTGTATATTTGACCTGCATTTGACGGTGTTCTATATTGGACCTGCATCTGACGATGTTGTATAGCGATCTGCATCTGACGATGTTGTATTGTGACCTGCATCTGACGATGTTGTATAGTGATCTGCATCTGACGATGTTGTATAGTGACCTGCATTTGACGCAGTTGTATAGTGACCTGCATTTGACGGTTTTGTATAGTGACCTGCATCTGACGATGTTGTATAGTGACCTGCATTTGACGGTGTTGTACAGTGACCTGCATTTGACGGTGTTGTATAGTGACCTGCATTTGACGGTCTTGTATATTTGATCTGCATTTGACGGTGTTCTATATTGGACCTGCATTTGACAGTGTTGTATAATTGACCTGCATTTGACGGTGTTCTATATTAGACCTGCATCTGACGATGTTGTATAGTGATCTGCATCTGACGATGTTGTATTGTGACCTGCATTTGACGGTGTTGTATAGTGACCTGCATTTGCCGGTTTTCTATATTTGACCTGCATCAGACGATGTTGTATAGTGACTTGCATCTGACGGTGTTGTATAGTGACCTGCATTTGCCGGTGTTCTATATTTGACCTGCATCAGACGATGTTGCATATTGACTTGCATCTGACGGTGTTGTATAGTGACCTGCATTTGCCGGTGTTGTATAGTGACCTGCATTTGACGGTGTTGTATAGTGACCTGCATTTGACGGTGTTGTATAGTGACCTGCATTTGACGGTGTTGTATAGTGACCTGCATTTGACGGTGTTGTATAGTGACCTGCATTTGACGGTGTTGTATAGTGACCTGCATTTGACGGTGTATTTCCAGACTGTCCCTCTGTGTATACATGCACCAAGAACATGTCCACCTCCGCCCAGGAAGCGCCGACTGTTCCAGACCTACTGATGAGATGTCAGTACGTACACCTTCAACTAGCTGTCTCTGATGACTCAAATGATTTCTTCTGTGTGAAATGCTATCCGCAGAACATCTTTCTTAGACATCCATACAAGAGTCAAAGAACACATTATCCATAACGTATAAATAACATTTGCCGGAAGTAGTCTTCAGTGCTGTGTTTGGGTTACATGACCAACTCGCTCCGTGTTCCAACAGGGAGATGACAGAAACAATGGCTTGCATGCACGCAGAGTTGGAGAAGTGTAACGTCTCCTCCCCCAGGGACTACAGCTTCGAAGAAGTCGGCGGCCTCTACAACGCCACCTGTCGAAGTACGTACAACGTCGTGTACTATGTCAAGGAATTTGCAGACAGGTGTATCCAGCGAATAAACATAAGCTCTAGAAGTCATTGTTATTACATAGTATTAACACGCAGACTTTGTTTCCTTAGCATACGAGTGTATCTGTTGTTTTGTAGCTATGGAGATTCAAGTTGACAACGGAATGTGTATCACCTAGAGACGCCATGGGAAACATACTTTCAGAACTAAGACACACCCTCCAGCTTCATCGCCCTCAATAGCATTATTGATTTTGATACAAATTATGAATAGATGTTGAATTATAGGTCCAATATGTAGAAGAGAGACAGTTTGACAAACCATTTATGTCTCTTACATGGACACAACGTTTAGAAAGCAGTGATATTTGAATGCTAAGAAATGTCGAAAGCTTAAAAATTGTCTTTTACCAGTTTTTTGTTGGTTATTGCGAGCAGAGTAGAAGTATTGTTATCGCATTGTCCCACGTGTCTGCACGTCCATCTTGTTGCTCACTGTAAGCATGTGTATGATCACGTGCACCTATTTTCAAATCAGCTGTGAGGAATATTCAAATCCAGTCCTGTCTCCTATGGCGCACATATAGTGGACTTTGAATCATTCTAAACAAATAATATATTTCCACCATGTTATCTACAAATAGGATTTTAAGCTATTAATTTTGGATTAACACTGCAACATTTTCGATTTTCTTCTGGATCATTCCCTGGAGTTTTATTGCTCATACCTCTTATGCTTATCAGTATTGTTTATGGACAACTCTTATGCTTATGACTCCTCAACTAGCGTTCATCAGTATTGCTCATGCACCCCCATACCCCTTCCCCCACCCCACCCCTGACGGCTAAATTGCTTATCGGTATCAACCTATCCCCTTCAAGAAATCCTAAACAACGTGTGTTAACGGCGTGTTACGATTCTCATAAAATGTTTATCTGTTCCATTTTTGTTTATTTTCGGTTTTAACCATCAACATACTTGTGTGATGCCGCCTGTTATTCGGTTTTAACTTTTTCTCCAGCCCTGACGGTCGACGTGGAGTTGGTCGGCTGTCCGGAAATGACGTCATGCATGGATACAATGATGGTCCCGACCGACCTCAACTCAGCCGTCCCCCTGTTCATAGACCCGCGTTTCTGGTGCTCGTGAGTACACTCTCTGGATGAGAGATTTAGTTATATGTTTCCAGTCTATACGATCTAACGTCCAGGATGACGAAAATTGAAGTTGAAATGCAAAGCAGGGTTCCGAAAAAGTGTTTCTTATATATTATCACTTGTTGAATGTATCGAGGATTTTTTCAAGCAAACATGTTTATCTTTTTGACTTAGCTGACAAAATCAATCTTTTCTAGAATGGCCTTCATCAGGTCACGATATGAGATAAACATTATGAATTACTTGCGTTTGTTACGCACGGAATGACCGAAGACCGAGGTGTTATAGTCGGAATCGTTCAACGGACTCGTTTTAGCAGATATTTCTTGTCGCTTTTATTTACACGAATATTTCTCTCTAAAATTCCAATGACACATGTAATGAATTTATCATAAACACTATAACAAAGACTTATTTTCTGTGAAATATACTTCTGTGGCAATATTGAATCGATCTAAATAAGGGTTAATCGTGTCGTGATAATCAAGTGACGTCCCATCCAACACTATGACGTCATGATGACCGAACAGAAAAGCGTTAGACTTCTAAAAGACGCGACTAGCCAAACAGAATGTTAGATGGTATGCGGTATGATTGCGTTAAAACCCGCATGGTATTTACTGCTCATTGAGTCTGAAACGAAGTAATCCCCATGTATTCACTTCCTCAGAATGCTGAAGAGCACTGTAACGTGCGCTGACAGTGTGAAGCATTGTACCCTTGCTAACCAGACAGACCATGGGGTGTCACTCGCCACTATCAACGAGCTGTGCCCGGAAGGTGAGTAACACTTTGGTCATTTGGTCATCGTAGCTGGTCAGAACGCCGGGCTCTCTGTTCCGTAGCTGACCATGTTGGGGGGCAGGTCGCTGACGCAGACATGGAAGGTGGTCCTGTAAGTGACATTGTCTACTACAGAACCCGTAGAACATGTTGATAGACAGGAACGGATCTGGCCTGGATGTGGGCATTGTCCACCACAGAAACTGTAGGACATGTTTGTAGACAGGAACGGATCTGGCCTGGATGTGGGCATTGTCCACTACAGAGCCTCTAGGACATTTTGGTAGACGCAGGAATCGGTCTGTCCTGGAAGTGGCATTGTCCACTACAGAACCTGTAGAATATATTGGTAGACGCAGGAATCTATATCTGCTGGTCGCTTTTTCGCTGTATGACATGTTAGTAAGCATCACTTGCTTGACATAGGTGTTATAATCTATACAGAAATCGTCGCCTCAATTGCAATAAAGAAGTCGTTTATCCATAAGAACTTGTCTGTGTTTTTTCTTTCAGCTGACATACGAGTGACGCCAAACAGAGGCAGCATTTCAGGTAAGGCTTACACGCACAACACGCGTGGGGTTGGCATTTCTGCAAAGAAAAAAGGAAAAAGTGTCAATTAAGGAGTGATGAATGTGTAATCCACGTCATGTAACTTCTCCGGAAATCCCTATGTTATGTTCAGGGAATGTTCCACTGTGTGTGTAAGATCCTAGGGTCGATGGGATAATGTAGTGACTGATTTAAACACTAGCTTGTTACACCGAAGAATCTGGTTCGATTCCCCACAATGGTACAGTGTATACCCTCTGTTTCAGGTGCAGGTCTGTTACCAGTGGTGATGCTTGTGATGTCGTTCCTGCTCTACAGACAGGCGTGAGGGACGTCCATGACAACAGTCTCAAACACTTTCTCATTAAAAAAACCCCCAAAGATTCTACTCCTTTCACACTTATTGCTGACAATAGTGATAAAGTTTTGCATCAAACTATTTTTTCTTTAAAACAATACGAATAGTAATATCTGCAACTTTGCGATCTATTTAATATTTCTTTGTACGAGTTTTCCAGTGAGGTAGTCCACGTAAAGTAGAGGGTCAAATAAAAAACCCAACATATATTGTAGATCTTAACGCCATCATCTCCAGACGTTGATGTTGACCACCATGTTTTAGACGTGTGATATAACTGTCACCTTGGTTCTTTTGTTTTCGTTATACGCATCATGTCGATCAACAACAACCCACTATGACTCCCGTACATACTTCGTGCCTTAAAAGGGACTATCTTCGGACAATCCTGCAATGTCGTTGCATTAATAATTTGAATTTGATTTTATTTGAACTTGATTTGTATTTGAATTTGAATTTGAATTTGTCTCTGAATTAATTATTTGAATTATTTAATCATTTGTCGTTCCACATCCACAACAATAAGATGACATCAACAACGGCGGCATTTCGTCCAGTTTAACGGTAACATATCTTACATTGTGATGCATGGGTTCAGTTAGTCCTGCACCATGACCGTGGAATATATTTATTTTATGAAAAAAGAATAATCGAGAAAAAATATACAAAAGCAAGTCTAGCCGAAATCAGCATAGGGAATTTTTTAAATATTTTTAGAGTCAAGAAGGATATTGTGTAATATAAGATTTCAGAGACTAAATGTTAGTCTAGGGTTCAGTGGGCATCGGAGGTCCCTTAGCCGTGAGGGGGTCGATGGTCGTGTGTTGGAATCTGATTCTTCTGTTATGAGCCTTGGTTTGTCAGCAGCGCACTAGAAGTCGTGACCTTCATCACCGTAGTAGCATCTCCCAGCTGCATCACTTCGAGCTTCAGAGTTTTCCCCATCAAGCTGACACGCCGTGATCATCCTGACCCTGTTTACCATATACACCTCACTGTCACGCTAGCTATATTGCAAACCATCAACAACAGATAAAATACTGATGAGTATGTTTGCTTGTTGTTTAAAGCCGCACTGAGCAATATTCCAGGCTTATGACGGCGGTCTGTAAATAATCGAGACTGGACCGGACAATCCAGTCACTGACATCACGCAATTGGGATACGATGACAATGATCAATAAAGTCAGTTAGCCTGACCACCCGATCCCGTTAGTTGCGTCTTACGACGAGCATAGTCGCCATTTACGGCAAGCATGGGATGCTGAAGACCTATTCTAACCCGGATCTACACGGGAGATGCTTATGTGACGGTATGTAATTACAGAGTGTTGCGGTGAGGTAGCTTTCATAGAAATCATGACATCGGTCCAAAAGTACGCATGCACAGAAAGAATGCAACTAACGCTGACAGTTACCGCCAATTTGCCTTGGGGTCATAAGTTACTTTTTGAATGTACCTGTTTAAATAAACAACCATTGTCACATACGTTTTCGTTACGTTTTTGTTAAGCGAAGTTGTGACAAACGGCATATTTATTGTGCTGTAGGGAACCAGGACATGTTGTGTCGGGTCGGGTCGGGTCGGGTCGTGTCGGTTCGTTTCGGTTCGGTTCGGGTCGGGTCGGGCCGGGTCTTCTTACAGGATAATTGGTAACGTACAGATGTTGTAAGATTCAGAAGGTGTAATGTGTCTGACCTCGACATGACCTCGAATGTTGATCATTGTGTAAACAATGGTTGTGACGCATAGTCGTTAGCACTCGCCCCAGCTTTTTGTCTGTTTGTTGTTTAACGACGCACTCTGCAATATTCCGGCCATATAACGACGGTCTGTAAATGATCGAGTCTGGACAAGCCAATCCAGTGACTGATATCATGAACATTGATTTACGCAACCATCAACCAAGTCAGCAAGACTGATCCCGTTAGTCGCCTCTTAGGACAAGCACCGTCGTCTCATACGGAAAGCATGGGTTGCTGAAGACCGATTTTACCCCGAATCTTCACGGGTCCACTGGCTCCAGTCGGGCCAAAAAATATAACATCACTGATACCAGGATCACATCTACCATTGAGTTTGGCCGGGTTTAATGATGCACACAGGTTTACAAGTTGGCGTCCAAAACTGATTGTGACCTTGTCACAGGAGAAACGACGTAAATTTTAATTGTTACAAAAAAAACAAAGAAGATTTTGTCATAGATGTCAATTTCCAAACATGCTGCAATACCAACTTTTGCATAGTCGACGATTGTTCCAGTCACCGCTAATAATAAAAATATTTCAACATCGTGTGAGTGCAGAGTTGCGTCCCTTGGGCTCTCCAGAAACCTATGATTGTGGGTTCGAATCCAGGTTCGCCCCGATTATGTTTCTAGGTTTGTCAGCACCATACCCGTGTTCGTGGGTTTCACCGAAGTGGTAAACGTCTGAGACCTGCATCACTTCGGGCTTTCCTCCCACATGAAGCTGACACGCCGCTATATAACTCGAATACTGTTAAAAGCGGCGTTATACCAGACTCACTCACTCACTCAAACATCGTGTAGAATATCAAGGCTTCCTAAAGTATATGTGAATTACTGTTTTCACATGTTTATTTGTTTTACCATGTTGTCCTTTCAGGATGGAAATAAGTACACATAAGAAACATATTCATCTTAATCAAACAAAGACTTATGCAGCACTAAGAAAATAACGTTTTCTCCTATACAGGTATATCTTATCAGGAGATTAAATGATTTTCTTACACAGGGGCAATCCCCCTGCCGTGTTGTGCTGTTCGAGTAGCACTCGTCATAACAGGGTATAATCATGAAAACATCCTAATCAATATCAATAACCTGAAGCCATGTTTCTGTTATTCCAAATATGAACAAATGTTTAAATAAATTGCAGAAATGCGAGTCAGTTTACTTATTTCAAAGACTAGTCCACTAATATTCCTAAAAAGTAGACATACACCTGTCAGTTCCCCCAGTTTGGACCTTGGCAGCTTTGAATTCAGCGCGGAGTCGTGGTCAGCCTTGAATTTCATTTCGGCCTCAAGTGAGGTGGTCTCTGTGACGTCACTGGGTGTTGGTTCTGACGTTGTACGCTCTTCGCCAGCACCCCTATGGTCATCGTTACCCCCCTGTGTGTCGTGCCTGGAATGCTGGCTGTTGGCGATCGGAGATGATTAGTTTCCCATTTTTCTAATAACCAAATTGACCATTATATTTTAGTTCCTGAAGTGTGTCCCTGATGTTGAGTAAAATCATTTGATTTGCCCACTCCACTTTTCTTCAGATTGTTTCTCAGGCCTAATGTCCGCAACTCTCCTCCACATAGAACATCTTCGTTATCATAGACCGTGGTCTATATTGTCAATGTGCTGCAGCAGGTCATCTGGGGTGATGTACTCTACACCTTCTCCCACGCTGAGGTTGAGTGTGACACAGGTGTATTGTTTACAACCTGTTGCAGATTCGTCCGTGCAGGATTATGTTCAGGCGTCTGTTGACCTGCTCCTGTTTGTCTAGATCGTTTTGCAATTTATCAACTCTTGTGTTCGCCCCTGTATACATCTACATATGAATAATCAGCATAAGTCACCACACTATCAAAGCGTGCAGCTATTTCCTCAATATCGAGTCAGAGAATCTCTTGTCAAGATTATCAAGACTTTTATTTCCCCGACGGTACTATTTAGTTCGTGTGATTCTATTTTGAGGCCTTTTTTCCCTTTAAAAGATTTTCTTTAACAGAGTTATTTGCCGCAATGAGTTCTTTGTGTCGCTTACGGTACTGGTCAGTATCATTTCCAGGGGCACCTTTCCAGGGCCTGGGTTTAATTCGATGTCACAACAGAGAGTTAGTAATCTTGATCGAGTAAACAGACAAAAGTGTGTAAGAGACTCCATGCATATATCTTCCGGCCTCGCTCGGGATTCCTGTTTGTGACTTGGATATTAGTTGTTTCAGAGCATCCACATTGAAAGTCAACTCTCACAGCCGATGTAGCGTGAAAGCACACTGCAGATTGTCAGTAGGATAGTCGCTGGTCTGTTTCTGGTGTCCGTCCCGCTTGTCCACAATGTCAGACGAGTATGTGTTGAAGTGCGTCTCTCAACCCACCTGCTTGTCCACAATGTCAGACGAGTATGTGTTGAAATGGCGTCTCTCAACCCACCTGCTTGTCCACAATGTCAGACGAGTATGTGTTGAAATGGCGTCTCTCAACCCACCTGCTTGTCCACAATGTCAGACGAGTATGTGTTGAAATGGCGTCTCTCAACCCACCTGCTTGTCCACAATGTCAGACGAGTATGTGTTGAAATGGCGTCTCTCAACCCAACTTGAGTGGTGGGGATTGAATGTCCCAATTCGCTGATCTAAAACTTACGCCCATTCTGTTGTGATCGTATTCTATAGAGAATATACATCACCCCTCTGTCTGGATCGCAACTATTTATCAAAATAATACTGGATCATGCATTTTTATAGAAGAGCTTCAAAGATATCGAAATACTTGAAAACAAATATTCAGAAAGATGAATTGTAACATTTCACATATTCAGATTATTTGGCGACATGGTTAAAAAATACTTCGAAATCTTAATGCCCTGGACTTATACTTGAGCTATAAGTGATTGTATTGTCATCATTTATCATAATACGATTACCTACACAAACTGTGAAACCTAATTTTGATTTTTAGAATTCATTATGTATTTAAACATCCATGCAAATAGTCAAACAAACTATAAACCAAAATCGTGGTCAGGTTTCGAAATTCCTTGTGAAACGGGCACAGTGAAATGCGTTCTAAAAAGTAGCGTGCGTAATTCAGTGTTCTATGTCTATAGAAAATAGTTAACACATCAGCATGTTCTTTGTATAATCGATCAAGCTCTTTCTACGAAGATTTCAAAGAGCGCCATAAAATTCTTCTGTGCTTAAAGATTCAGAGCGACAAAACAATCTCCTCAAGACAACATGACAAGAGGGATGACTTCAA